CCTCAGAACAGCTCGCTGATCTCGGTCGAAAGTCTGGAAACTTGAATCCGCGTCCGGCAACTGATATCTTGCAGCGCTAGGACCCTGTCTCTTATACACATCTAGATGTGTATAAGAGACAGGGGTGGGGAGTGCCCTCCACACAGCAGCAGCCACTCTAACGGCCCCTCGTCCATGTCGTTGGTGATACCCACGCCCCTGGACGTGTGGGTGGAGGGCGTGGGGTGGTCTGGGGGCGAGGAGTGGCTACGGCATCAGTTCAGAGTTTATCTCCTTACTATGCTCCGGACTTCTCTTCTGCCTGGTGGGTGAAGGGATATTACATAACACGCAAAATAATATCAATAATAATATCAAAAGATTGAACACACACAATACCTAACCAGAACCCACATTATTTTAGCTCAAAATTTAAGAGAAAATAATGCCGTTTTTAAGTGAATTGACTTTTTTTTCAATATTTCATACGATATAAGTATTATAACCTTATTCAAGTGGATGTACAGGACGGTATGTATACAATACCGCGTAGTAACATTATACATTTTACTGGGTTTATATTGGGAATTTATTTATCTTTTAAGAAGGCATTTAGCTGGTGTCACGCATCGAAACTAAATTTTGGGAAGAGGCTTCTAGGAAATGAAAAATAAATCAGTTGTAGGTGTATGCTTCAGACCGGAGTAAATAAAGAGAGGTACGTTACGTTTAAATAAAATCCAAGTAAAGTGAGTTTGCCAAGGCTTGTTGTGAGAAAGAGCATTTTTAGTGATGCATAAATTTTGATTATCGAGAAGACATTTTCACTGCACTTCACTTCAGTTCACTTCCCTGCCAATTTTAAATGTTATTACGCACTCGGGCGCCACTGTTAGTTCGCCAGTTTTACTGTTGGCGAACTGATATTTATTTGATGAGTTCCTCAATCGAAGATCTTCAAATCAATAGTAGAAAAAACCTGAGGGGTTTGGTTCGTTTATAATTGTCCGAATAACATTTTAAATATTCATTGGCCAGGGAAGGAAAATAACAAGACGTGTATCTAAGCGTAAGTTTTAAAGATAGGTTCACGGGATACACTAGATAGAAGTTACAGGATACAGTAGCTAGAGTTTAACGACACTGCGTGTTGGTATGAGTGCCAGAGTCTAAAGGCCCGTTCACACTAGGGGCAACACACGAGAGTCAAGTGCCTCAAAGCGCATGCAGAGGCGCTTTGCAGCCTCTGCATGCGCTTCTTGACCGATTGACGAGCTAGCGATTGACAGGGGCCATGCCTCATGCAACACAAGCGCGGCGCTTAGTAGNGTACAGTCTTGTTGCCACCCCAACGCCGGCCACCTCAGCATGGCTGACGTCAGGATACGACTGGCGCAGTGAGTACAGTCTTGTTGCCACCTCAGCATGGCTGACGTCAGGATACGACTGGCGCAGTGAGTACAGTCTTGTTGCCACCCCAGCGCCGGCCACCTCAGCATGGCCGACGTCAGGATACGTCAGGTGTCAATCTGGCGTCTCATTATAATCATTAATCATATGTAATTGGGACGTAATATTCTCTTGACCTGATAGAGATTGATGACATGAGTCAGCATCTGGAAGACACGTGATAGATCACGCCATCAAGACCTTAGTTGTGGGCGGAAGCTGAAGGCTATATAAGGGCTAGCAACCTTAAGTAAGGCTCACGCAGTAGTTGATAATCGTTCCGAGATGTAGCGTGTCGGTTGAGTCTCCAACCTTATGGTCGACGCCGTAGCTTATACCTCTGTATCGTACTAATTTATTACCACCCCGTATACAAGATACGTAATCTGGACAGATGTGTCTTACTTACCTTCAGTACCTTATTCACGTAACCCGATCCTCAGGTAGAGCTTAATATACGAGTTCTGACAGATACGACTGGCGAAGTGAGAATGTGCCTTGAAAGTGATGTGTTTCTGTGTTTGCAGATTCTTTCTGCTTAGCTTCACCTAGATTTTAGGTTCATTTGTGTTAGAGTAATGAAAATAAGGTTACCCTAACTTATGACGTGCAGCTCTTTGCTGGGGGGCGACCGCAGCCGTCGCATCAACCAGACGCTCGCCAGCACCGGCACCGCTGTGGTCAAGACCAAGGAGGCCGTGGGTGAGCTGTGGGTTGTGAACGTTCCTATAAACATAAGTAATGAATGTGCCAAANGTGTATGTACATCAGAAGTGTATTCGTGGTGTATGCATCAGAAGTGTATGCGTGGAGTATGTACATCAGAAGTTTATGCGTGGTGTATGTACATCAGAAGTGTATGCGTGGTGTACAATAGCCGCGTGTTCGTTGTAGTCTCCATCACACGTCATCTGTCAGAGCATAACAGCTTTCCCGTATCACCACAGGGGGGGCGCTGACGTCAGCGCGGGGGGCGCTGAGCAGCCTGTGGTCCTCTATGACGACCGCCCCTGCCCCCAACGGCGCCCACGATGACTCACCTGCAGGTAAGTGGGTCACATGCCCGAGTGTTGGATCAGCAACTCCTGGTATGTGCGAATACAAAAGCCTGGATATTGTTTATTGTTGCCTATATGATGCGGGTGCCTATTATCCCTTATAGTCTTCTGCTGATACTCTCATAGAAACAAGTGACACTTTGTCCAAATATCAAAGCAATATTTGTCATATTTTTGGCGAATGACGCCCCAGATACAATCTGGAGGTTCTTATCTTGTTCAATTTTAGCTTCGTCCCAAAAAATGGTCGTTTATTTACGTGCAATCATGTTGACAGCATGAATGTTTGATTGTCTATGATTGGTGGATTTTGCTCGAAAGGTCGTCAATGATTGGCTGATGAATTAACGATCTCTTAACTTTTTTGAAAGTATAGGCCCTGAAGCATGCACAGAGAACGCTCTCCCGTGTATTACATTGGTTTTTGTTAATAATCCTGTTATAGAAAATGCCGGGAAGGATTCATTTTCTTAGATTAGCTTTGTTAGTATAGCTCCGAAATTTCTGGTATTTTATATGCATTCTAGATGAGAGCGTTACCGTTCCATGGAGAATGATTGCTTTTTAAAGTATTTGTGCTTTATATTTTACATTCATTGATTTATGATTATCTTTGAGCTCTCATTTATATCTTGCAAGTTTGACAAGTGAGAGCTGGATGGCTTATCGATTTTGAAATTAACTAATTTCTTGAAGTCAAAAAATCCGTCGTTAGAGTTTAGGCGTGCCATGAAACAGATGACATTTCACGCGACTTCCTCAATAGTTTGTTGAAATAAAATACAAATTTTCTATGATTTCCGTTGACTACATTTTACTTTCAGGTCCAGCAGCTTCCATCGTGTGCGCCATGACATGGCGCCCAACGACGATTTCTTCCCGCGGCCCCGGTCTTTTCTGACCCACCTGGTGCCGGTCCCTTCTTGCCTCCTGTCATCGGTCCCTTCTTGCCTCCTGTCATCGGTCCCTTCTTGCCCCCTGCCATCGGTCCCTTCGGTCCCTTCTTGCCTCCCGTCATCGGTCCCTTCTTAGATTCTACTCAGCAGACGACAACAGAATTTGGACATTTCATTTTGAAAAATTAGCATGAAAAATTTATCGTTCACGAACGGATTTCCTACTCACGAATATAATATTAACCCTGGGATTGCATATTCGGTTGGAATGAGAATCTTTCTCTGTTTTATAGGTCGTTAAATTTTCTTATGATAGTTAAAATTTTTCTATCATTCGTAGTACTAATAATTATGGGTGCTGCGCATTTTCGATTATATTCTTGTGCTCAGTTCTGTACTTAATGTGAAGGTAATCGACTTGTTGAATTAAAACAATGGAAGCTCTCAGCGAGTTCGATTCTTTGATATTATGGCGCATTTCAATTCAATAGAGACCAAAGTAATTCGTACCTGCATGTGATGTGTATTTTACGCTACATGAGCTCGATGTTAGCTGTACGTACGCTGGTGAAGTGAAGCTAATGCAGGTCTTGACAGCAACATGTTTATCACACGTCTGAAGCCAGCAGCCTTGATGTTTGTGGATGTATACAGCCAGCAGCCTGGATCTATTGATGTATAATATACAGCCAGCAGGCTGGATGTATTGATGCATGCAGCCAGCAGCCTCGATTCTGACGCTTGTGTGGATGTATACAGCCAGCAGCCTGGATGTACAACACCTGCTTCCGTACCGTGAGAAGGAGTGATGTTTGAGGAATACAGTAGGTATATTACTTCATTTGTTAGCATTTAAGTTTCGTTATGTGTCCATCTGCTACTTGCCCTTGAATTTTCAATTCTGTCTTAGTAGCCTAAGCTTCCATTAGTGAGACTCATTGTAAACTGTTTCATGTCGTGAGTAGGACTCCTAGGCTCAATTGTGAATTACTTTAAGTTTTTACCAATTATCCACTAGTTTTTAATTTGTCTTCAATTTATTATTTCAATTAATTGAATTTCGTATTATGTGCTCTTCAAAATATCTTTTAACCTTTGCTTTTATTATAAATATAAATCTATGGAAGCCTCGTATTTGAATATTTCTCATGAATAAATTGCTCAGCATATCATTGTGAAGTTCTATATAATTTCAATAATAATCGTTTCACTAATATTATACTCGAATTACTTATTGTTGCATTCATGTGTATATGATCGTTAGATTGACATATTTTAAGGTTATCTCGTTAAATTTAAATTTTCTTTTGGAAACATTTTATTTTCAATATTCGGACCTGAGCCTTCCGATGTCATTTGGACTGTTCCTTGATTTATATTCTTGAATAGAAAAATTATGAAAATTTTTATCATGATATATGTAAATGAGATCTATGGAACTAGTACAACAATCATCTGATGCCGCTGTGGTGATGTGCATTGCTAGGCCAGGATTTAAATATAATATTTTGTATTAATTTGTTAGTCGGATGGCAGAAGCTGCTCTGATTAGCGAGCTAAATTTTCCACTTTGGGAGTAAAATTTTGACATCATTTTCGATGTGGGTTCATTTATTTTGCGACAGTCAAGTTTTGATGATTGTCGATTTAAATTATGCTGTTCTAATTTTTATTTATTCTGAGAAATTGTATCGGCGCTTAGCTCATGATGGGAATGGGAATATTTAATTTCATAAATGTTCTTACTCAACCGGAATCGTGTGTTATTAAGTTTTGCCTCTGATCTGACGAGATCGTTTTCCTCGTATCTGATTTATCCACCATTCCAGTATTTCTTAGGCACGGTGTCTTTCTTTCATAATAATAACTGAATAATTTATTACCCTAACGTATGTTTAAGTGTGACGCTTTCTTTGCTAGTCATCGCCTGTTTACAGTTCAGTTCCTGAACTTGCTTGCTGACTCACTGATCAGTTGTTATGACCTCCTCTCACTGGAATACTCGTACCAAAAACATCGAACGGTTTCAAACTTAACTCTTGGACGTGGATACTTTGTGGTGACTGCGGACCACGTGCTATGGGACCGCGGACCACGTGTTATGGGATGTGGTCCTCAAGCTGTGGTCTTCTTCCTGAACCTTATTGAAAATTATTAGCGCAGTTGTGAAAAGTTGTCGTCACACGGTGGCTGACCGGCGGCCTTCCCAGACAATTGTGCCTATGATTTATGACAGGTCCAGGCAGCGGTTTTATGAGAATACTTCCATAAATTACCCCAAATATAACAAATATTTCAACAGGAAACTTGCAATCATGCGTTTTGTTTGTCTATAAGCGTGACGATAAGCTACTTTGATGTTTATGCTGTATGCTGTGAACTATATAAGTACTCTTTCAGTTACTTTTTTCATTCATTTTCATACGTAGTATCTCAACCATAATTTTCAGACCTTGTTGGACATGGTGAGCGGCATTGTTGCTTTACCTTCGCTTGTGAAGGTGTAGGTGTGATACTTTGATGCCCTTGAACAATTTAAAATTTATGCTCCCAATCTTCTTTCATATTCATTACACACGACATACATTTCATGCTCCCCTGTTTCCGCTAGTGTTGATTGTCTTAATTTGCCCGACTATGTGAATGACAAAATTGTATAGCTATCATTTGGAAACCAGGTATATCCATATGATCAATGTCAGGTTTGATTACAAACCTCATGTTTCATAACAGTATTTGATAAGACTTGTCCTCTAATGGTCCAATCGCTGTGTCAATTTTTTGAAGGAAGCCTAGAATGTTTGCTTCCATGAGCTTTGTTCTGAAGGCATTTATTAGGCATTATTGTCTCCAGTAGCAATGGAGATCCTGTAGTAGTTCGATCAATTGTAGAAATGAAGTTTTGTGAGATAAAGTGACCGCTTGGGTAAGTTTGACTGTGGTGAACTGTTTACAATTGAGACGATAAAATTGACGCTACATAAAGATGTGGAATTTGTGCGACCTTCTTAGCTCGAGTGTGGAATCTCAATTAACTTTAGCGTCCGAAGCGATTATAGGATCTTAGGCAACAGGCAACGGAATTTAGATAATTGAATGTTAGTGCTGCGTAGATGTTGTTAATGTGCATCGAAGGCCGCGGCAATAATCTAGATTGCAGCGCATGCCTATACATCTAGATAGTCAAATGTGGCTATGGTTTAGCCTCTAGCGTGCCAGGTTGGCAGGCTGTTGATGGTCTACTGTGGCTATGGTTCAGCCTTAGCGTGTCAGGTTGACAGGCTGTTGATGGTCTAGTGTGGCTACGGTTCAGCCTCTAGCGTGTCAGGTTGGCAGGCTGTTGATGGTCTAGTGTGGCTATGGTTCAGCCTCTAGCCTGTCAGGTTGGCAGGCTGTTGATGGTCTAGTGTGGCTATGGTTCAGCCTTAGCGTGTCAGGTCGGAAAGCTGTTGATGGTCTAATGTGGCTACGGTTCAGCCTCTAGCATGCCTGGTCGGCAGGCTGTTGATGGTCTAGTGTGGCTCTAGGTTGTTTAACAGGCAAGCTGTTTAATGTTTCGTTAACAACGTCTCGATTGCAGGTCTAATTTGGCCTCGAGTTCTGAGTAGTTTCGAATGACCGAATTTCGACTTTTTGTTACATTTCCTCCATTGTATTTAGCATCGTGCCCAATGCAACTTGTAACGAATGTTATCATACTCCTACATAGCGTAAAATGGTCTGATATTCTAGTGACAAATTAATCATCACTCACTTCATCTATTCGATCAAACTTTGATAGACTTCATTGTAATCTTTTATTCGTGTTACTGTCTTCTAAATTCTTTTATTTAAAAGTTAACCCATGAACGTTGTATCCGAACTTGAATGTGATGTATTAAAGATGTAAATTTATATATTGTATGCGTTTAAATTAGAGGTCTAATAGTCCGGTGGTGTTCCGAAAAAATTTACTGCACTGATAGGATCTCTTTGATACGTGAATTTTAACTCATTTTCTCTCCTCTCAACTCGCAAGAAAGCGTTCATCAGAGGCCTATTCCGATATAAACTTTTTCGGCATAGATTTAATTTTTCAAGTATT